CAGTTAGTATGATATTTGTGACAGGATTCAACCCACTTCTTGGTTATACTAGAGTCTGCTGAAGAGCCAGTGAATCCACAGACAAGGATGAACCAAAACAGCATCATGTGCTTGGATCTGCAAAAGAATCTCAGTTGGATCTCACAGTAAATCTAACAACGAAATTAAGTTATGTGGTAAGAAAGTCCTCACATAAATGTGGAACTGGTTAAAAGGTAACAAATTAGGGGTAGGAGCCAGTGAATGTTTGTTTCAGTGAAGTGGATTTGGTGATGAGAGGGCTTGTCCGAGCCTGTGTCTTTTAATGTAGCCATCAGTGGTTTGGGAAACAGGGTGAGCTGTGAGATTACAAAGTTTGCTGGTGTACTATGTTATTCGTATTGTCTTAGTTATTCATATTCATAATTAAGTTTGTCGATGTATGAAGCTATTCAGGATACCAGAAAGGAGGTCTAGCTGCAAAGAGCTATTAAAGGACTTTGAAATACTGAGTAAGAAGGTGATTAAATGGTGGATTAAAATCAGGGCTGGTAATTTCCAGGAATAGAAAGCAAGGACACAATCAATATGCTGCAGAAGTGATGCATAAACCTCAGTGACTTTCTGAGATGAGACTGTCTTTTCTTTTGATTTTTCTTCTTTCAAACTTTAACTACTAAATAGTAGATAATATATTTTCATGCCCATGCATGTGCATCTATTAACTTTGTTTTTGTGGCTACGTAGCTGGAAAAAGTTGTGCTGACCTTCAGTAAAAGCATCCAAAACTTTGTAAATATTTAGGGTAGCCATTAAAATTAATTTCCTTCTTAAATTCAAATTAGCTGTAAATGCCTTCCTTGCTTGGATATATAGGGAGGAATGACATAGAAGAGAAGGCAGAGGACTCCCATGGATGTGAGAGAAGAGATAGGAGAATTTCCTGTTTAAAGTGAATTGCCTCATTTGTATGGCATACAACTGGGGAAAAATCATGGTCTTGTGGAGGTTGGTTTTTCTTCTCTATCACTATGACTACATTAACAGAGCAAAGCAAGGAATTAATCAGTTCAGCAGTTTCTCTTAGACATCCTGTAGAAATGGGTCTCTCAGGCTTACAATAGGTTGGGAGAACTCAGGGGGAGGTCAGTATGAGAAACAAATTGAGTGATTAGGTAACTATTGCAGCACTGGTGAATCTCTGCTATATCTGGTGTTGGATTCAATATGAAAGGTTTAAAGATGCTTTTAAAATTTCAAGTTGGAAATTAGAATACTTAAGAAAAAAAAAAAGAAAAGAAAAAACAAGTGAACCAACCACCCAAACAAAAAAAACCAAACAACAAAAATAAAAACCAAGCAAACAAAAAACCCAAATCACTAAACTACTGAAATCAGTATGTACAAACACATTTTGCCAGCAGTGTCAGCTGCTACTCCATCTCTCAGCTGCTTGTTCCCTCCTTGCTTCTCTGCCTCTTCTACCCAGCACTAGGAGGAGAAGAACTCGGGAAATTATGACTAGAGCTGTAACCTCTGCCCAACCTCCTGCTGTTTTGAGCCAGATTTAATGGAGTAACAGCAGCAACGTATGGGATGGCACAGAAAATGGCACAAGCTTGGGTACATGCAGCTAAGGCAGGGGGGATGGGTAAATATTATTCCTGCTGGATGAATAGCATGTTCTTTAATTGTTTTTCCATGGACTTCTTTAGAAAAGTGTGGAAGAACTGTATTTTTTTCAGTCTCTCCTCTCATCTCATCTCCTCTCATCCTTTTCTCTTTCATCTTTTCCTTTTCTTACTTTTACTTTTTCTTTATAATTTTTATTTTTTTTTTTACTAGAAGTTGCTACAGCAGTCTCTTTTAGGTAATGCCTCAAGAAAGAAAATGTGCACAGAAGGACACATTACCTGTGTTAAATGCATACTGAGGCATCTCATGCTTAGTCCTGGAATGGGAGAAAATGGCATCTCACATGCCATATGTGTGTCTGTGATGAGTACAAACAAAAACAGCTGTTTCCTTCAAAATCAGTTAAAATCTCCAAGATTACTGTCATTTGGCTATGTCTGTAAAACGAGGATATGAATGAAGGTGCCTTACACCAGGGGAGACAGCTGGGCCCATAGGAGTAGGAAGGGCTGCAAGAATTGCAACTGAACTTAAACTTACTACAACTAAATTTTGGACCCAGTGGAGCACTATTTCTGGGATTTGCTGATTCATCCAGAGTTCAAGGGGAAGCTGAAGGTTCCGTGTTGTCTGGAATTCCCCATTCCCAGTCAGCCCAACCAGTCTACCCCCAGATAATTTGCTTGGTAAACCTCTGAGGACCAGAGACTTTGGAAACCCCATCAACACCCCTCCCCAAGCCCAATCCCAGACCTCTGAGACTGGCCAAAGCCTGAGCAGACCCAGGCCTCCAGCTTATACCACTCACAGACAGCCCAGCAGGTGGATTGACCTTGATCTAGGCTCCAGAACTTCAACTAGCAGAGAAATTTCAAAGTGTCTTTTATGTTTTAAGGCTCTGGGGAGACCTTATAGCAGTCTTCCAGTACCCGAAGGGGGCCTGCAGGAAAGCTGAGAATGGACTTTTTACATGGGCATGTAGTGACAGTAGAAGGAGGAATGGCTTTAAACTGAAAAAAGGTAGGTTTATGTTAGGAATAAATTCTTCACTATGGGGGTGGTGAGACACTGTAGCAGGTTACCCAGGGAAGTTGCGGATTCCCCCTCCCTAGAAGTGTTCAAGGCCAGGTTGGATGGGACTTTGAGCAACCTGGTTGAGTGGGAGGTGTCCCTGCCCATGCAGAGGATTTCTCTTTCATCTTTTCCTTTTCTTACTTTTACTTTTTCTTTATAATTTTTATTTTTTTTTTTACTAGAAGTTGCTACAGCAGTCTCTTTTAGGTAATGCCTCAAGAAAGAAAATGTGCACAGAAGGACACATTACCTGTGTTAAATGCATACTGAGGCATCTCATGCTTAGTCCTGGAATGGGAGAAAATGGCATCTCACATGCCATATGTGTGTCTGTGATGAGTACAAACAAAAACAGCTATTTCCTTCAAAATCAGTTAAAATCTCCAAGATTACTGTCATTTGGCTATGTCTGTAAAACGAGGATATGAATGAAGGTGCCTTACACCAGGGGAGACAGCTGGGCCCATAGGAGTAGGAAGGGCTGCAAGAATTGCAACTGAACTTAAACTTACTACAACTAAATTTTGGACCCAGTGGAGCACTATTTCTGGGATTTGCTGATTCATCCAGAGTTCAAGGGGAAGCTGAAGGTTCCGTGTTGTCTGGAATTCCCCATTCCCAGTCAGCCCAACCAGTCTACCCCCAGATAATTTGCTTGGTAAACCTCTGAGGACCAGAGACTTTGGAAACCCCATCAACACCCCTCCCCAAGCCCAATCCCAGACCTCTGAGACTGGCCAAAGCCTGAGCAGACCCAGGCCTCCAGCTTATACCACTCACAGACAGCCCAGCAGGTGGATTGACCTTGATCTAGGCTCCAGAACTTCAACTAGCAGAGAAATTTCAAAGTGTCTTTTATGTTTTAAGGCTCTGGGGAGACCTTATAGCAGTCTTCCAGTACCCGAAGGGGGCCTGCAGGAAAGCTGAGAATGGACTTTTTACATGGGCATGTAGTGACAGTAGAAGGAGGAATGGCTTTAAACTGAAAAAAGGTAGGTTTATGTTAGGAATAAATTCTTCACTATGGGGGTGGTGAGACACTGTAGCAGGTTACCCAGGGAAGTTGCGGATTCCCCCTCCCTAGAAGTGTTCAAGGCCAGGTTGGATGGGACTTTGAGCAACCTGGTTGAGTGGGAGGTGTCCCTGCCCATGCAGAGGATTGGAACTAGATGATATTTAAGATCCCTTCTGACCCAAACCATTCTTTCTACAATTCCATGATTCTATTATTCTAAATCAGAGTAAGAATAAATCTAAAATTATCAACACATTCTTACAAGCAAAATTGTGTTTTCTCATAAACATGCAAGCAGAACTTAAAAAGTTTGGAAAATGTAGACTCTTCTGCCAGATTTCTTCAAAATCATTGCCCATTCCCAAATTTTGGGCAGGTAGAAGGAAATAAAATATGGTTTTATATACCAGAGCAGGCAGGCCACCTTTTATAACAACATAGAGCAAGACACCTTCTACTTCACAGAGATTCTAGTGAATAAATACGCAAGCATATTTTTTTATTTATTTATGTATTTATTTTTGTAATATTCAAATTTAGGAAAGTTTCCACTGAGAAATCCAAAGTTTTAAATAATATTCTGGTACAAAAATATAATCCTTGAGATAAAAAACTTCCATACTACTATCTCAAAATAAATAAACTTACATCAGACACATTTAAATGATTCAGTACAAAAAAAAAAATACAAAATTTCTCAAAATCAGCAAGTTGAAGTCAAACCAGTGCAATAGTTAGTCACATTTCTTGGAGTTGCCAAGTAGCCTGATGTCCTGGCAACTTCAGTGCATAACGATAATTACCAGCAATTAATCAGCCATCCCCTAGTTCAGAAAAGTGCTTCATCATTTGCTTATCTTTAAGCATGTCTATTCACTTGATTTCAGTTTAGATATGCCTAGAAGTAAGCAGATATGAATACACTTTCCTGCGTACAGAAACTTCCCCATATTGGTGCCTGCATCTCCATCCCAAACAGATGACTGATAAGAGTAATTTTATAACATCCCTCTCTCCAGACAGCACCAGATGGAAAGCTGGGTATCATATCATGTAATTTCAGAATTTCCATATGGAAACTGGGTAAACATTGCTTCATTCTGTATTTTCAGGTAAACAAACATATAACAGACAGGATTTTAAGACAATGTCAGTCCTTATATAGTAGTAGGAGGTATAAATACTTTGATTGGTGTTTCTTTATAAATAATTATTTAAAATACTTAAATATAAATAAATAAATGTATAAAAACTCAATAAAAAGATTGAAATAAAAATATATGCATCGTAACAAAATTTGCATAATCACTCAGTACAAAAGGTCAGTCATATGATGTCACCAGCATTTGCACCTCCTCTGAGACTGGCTCCTTTTCCTTTTGAGAGAAGCTGAAGTCTCCACCAGCTTTTGTAAGACACTGAACATCTCATGCACAGCTTTGCGTTGAATTTTCAAGTCACTCATCTGTTATAAGTAAGAAACAAATAGAATGAAGGCCATGCCAAGAGCTATAATGATTTGCTGATCACATCCTACAAGCTACACTGCCACCAGGCCAAACCAGATGAACATCTGCAGTTTCCAATTACTCTGCTGCCTAATTCCAACAACAAAGAGCCACTTTGTCACAGATTTTTGCTTCCCACTTTCTATGTTGCTTTGTAACATGCCACAGACAAGACACATTATGTGAGACAGAGCTATTCTGTGTTGTTGTCATGATGCATGAGTGACTCAGGAGCTGCTAACTCCACCAGGGTACTGGCTGTGGACCTCTGCAGTGGTTGGTGGTTCATGCCACTGGCACTTGCTCAACAAGTCAAGTGCCTCCAAAGCCCACAGAGACCATCTGTAGCTGAGCACAACTTTCCTGACCAATTTCTAAACCACAAACAGCTGTGTCAGTGGCAGTTCTCGTGGGCAGGTGATGCAGCAGGGCTGCTGGCACATCAGTGCCAGACTCCAGCACAGCTCGGGGTGGGGAGGTGCCCCCCACGCTGACACCCCACACCGCAGACCCACAGGAGCCCCTGAAGCTGGAAACATTAGGTTTGCCAGAGCCAGCTGAGCCATATAGGGGTTGTCAGACGGGTTACTGGAGCATTATCAGCTTGAGTCACACTCAAATCTCAACTGGAAAATATAGCGTCATGAGCCTTGGAGGCAGAGGAAGAGCCTTACCTGAAGATTTTCCAGGTTCTTGAGGTCTTCAATCTTCTTTGAGTCATTAATAAGATGATTTTTCAGAGTAAAGAGCTCCTCAAATATATGCCTGACGTGCGCCTTTGACTTGTCAGTGTGTTCAAGCATTTCCAAGTACTTGGAAACAATCTGGCTCAGGATGATCCTTTTTTCATTTCTCTGTTGAAAAACAGTCAGAAAGAAAGGGCTGTGAGGGTCCATCAGCAG